TAGTTATTTAAATATTATTACTTTAAAAAAAAAAAAAATCGGTGGCTTCATTTGTGGTCTCGACGGCCATTGGCACGTTTGGAAGAAGTAGATTAACCAAACTTGCACCCACACCTTCTAACACTACATCCCATTGAAAGAATCCATTGAAAGAAACCCGACTGACTTATTATCCAAATCGGTTCGACCTCARATTTAATCTACCCGATCTAATGGGAAAATAGTCGTTTAATTCCCCAAAGATTTGTAATTGACATATTTATTTGAGAAATTTGGAAAATTAGAAYACATTGAACTTTATTGTGTCCCAATACATTTTTAAGTACTTGATTTTGTCCCATTATGTTTTAGTTAAATAGAAATCTGTTTTTGCCCTCTAATTTAGTTTTAATTTTTTTTTTGTTAAATTTAAAATATTATATCTCAATATTATATGAGATATTGTCTGATTAATAATAGATTTATGGAAAATAGATTTATATTATAAACAAAATTTATGGCAAATAGATATGTAACATATTAAGCAAAAAAAAAAAATTCGAAAAAACGAAGAAAATAGAATGAAAATTTTGTTTAAACAGATTATAAACGAAATATTATAAACTAAATGAAAATATTAGTTTATAAATATGTAACATATTATAAATGAATCCATAATACAAAAATATCTTTAAAAGATCATTTTAGGAAAATATAATGAAAATATTTACAAAAATATTATTTTATGAAAATAGAACATTCACTAGTTCAAGATCCTAGATTTAAAGAATTTTTTAAACGAACTTAGTAGAAAACACATTCTAGCTTCGGTAGATGATAGATAATGTGATAGAATTTCTATCCAGGATATGGTAAAAGAAATAGAGAATGGTAGAATGCGTATTCTGGATTAGGTAGTGTTTAGGGCAAATAGTGGAAGCAATATTCTACGAAAAAATGTAGAACAAAGAGCATGTTGTAGAACATAAATTCTACACTTGGTAGATATAGATGAAATATGCAAAACTAATAATCTACTTACCCATAGAAGCAAGTAGCCATAGAACGTATATTCTGGAAGGCGTAGAATAAAACAATAAAATTATTTTTCAGCATTTTTTTGTAAGCTAAAAAATATTTCAATATAAAGAAGTGACTATTTTTTACGTTTTTGAAATTTTTTGATTTTTAAAATATAAAAAATCATTATTTTTAATTATTTATTATTGTTAAGGGTAGTATATGCAAAAACGGCAAAATGTGAGAAATGTGTATTGGGACATAATTCATTTCAGTGTCGCCTTATTTTTCAACTATCGTGGTTGCATATTAAATCCCCAAGTTAACTTTGACTTTGTAAATTTAGATATGATAAAAGTCAATGTTAACTAGAAAACCGAGATGCTAACGTTAATTTTTTAGTTCAATTTTGCGAAATAAACGCAAACTTGAGTAATTAAATTACTAACTTAAACGCAAACTTGAGTAATTAAATTGCTAACTAAAAATTTGGAATTAATTTGGAAAATTGCAAAACTTGGAGAATTAAATGACATTTCCATGATAATTTTAAAAATACCATCATTTAAAAAAATATATATATCATTTCATTATATTTTGTATATCCAAAATTTTGTATGTTTTATTGAAAATAGATATTTTTAAAAATACATATTTGAATTATTAAGATTTATTCATAACAACAATAAAAAATTGGGGCAATTACAAAAATACCACTTTTTKTKTKYWCATTTGCAAGAATGCCACTTAAGGGGTGCCCATTTACAAAAATGCCACT